CACTGAAAAAAAAAGTCTTTTGGATTTACATAAAAAAATTATGGACATCGGTTGCACATAATAAAGTTATGTTTACTCAAATTGATATATTCATGTTCTGTACATTAAATTATTATTCGTTAAACCAACATGACTTTCTTACATAAATTTAAAATATTTATTTGATGTTAAGTATATTAGATTATCTTCTGCTAAACTGACTGATTTTTTTTTATGTTAAATGAACGCTATTCTTTAATGTGTATGATATTTAATTATCATCAGTTGGACCAACATAATTTTTTTGCGTGAAGCTAACCTAACTTCCACAGGTAAATTGGACACTATTAAGTTTGGTATACTTTAAATATTTAAATTACTTTTATAAGATGATTGGTAATTTAAGAAATTAATTTCTACACCCCCCAACCCCACTTAATCAAGCCGAATCTTTTACGGAAAATAAAAAAGGACGTGGTAATAGGCCGACATATCTTCAATTATTAACTCCAGACAGTGCATAACAAACATCCGTAATGACTAAAAATACAACTTGCTGTGTACTACCTGGGAAATCATATATATTGACAATTCAGTGAAAAAACAAAGTAAACACTATTTAATTGAAAATTTCCATTTATATTTATTAGAACATTGTTTCAAGCATCAAGAAGGAACGGCAGTTAAAGAAAAATCACCCCAAATCCTAAAAATAGGGGTAGTAGTCTGTTTCAGTTTGATAAAAAAATAGTGGAAAAAGAAGCCTCCCACTCACCCAAATAAATCAAACAATTGTAAGAGGTAGATGAAATAATGCATACAGTATTACCAGAAAAATACCTTTTTTTCTCCCCAACAAAGACAGAACATTATTGGTGAACCAAAACCCGAAGCCAAAGCTACAGTGACCACAGGATGTTCCATAATGTGAACATTGAAACAATTATAGTGGCTTGTTTGCAATTACCAGTGTCCACAGTAAACAAAAATCACCCCAAACTCTAAAAATGGGGGGGGAATTATGTTATAGTTCCATTTAAAAAAAAAAAAAAAAAAAGCCTCCTACCCACCCAAAAGAAAAGTCCAACAACTGGAAGAGGTAGATGGTGACATAATGCATGTCTTAAGAAATCAAGCAAACAAGTTGGATAGCCTTTTTTTCCTTCAACAAAGAAGAGTCCCTGGAGTCAGAAATGTGTGCAGGTTCGTGTGGATAACAGAGGGAGATTTGTGCACACCATTTAGCAGAACCTGAAGCCAAAGCTACGGTCACCACACATTAAAACTCATCTATGTACATACAACACACTGACAGAGAATTTTCATTTGAATACACACCTGTCCTTTTGCTCTATGGTACATAGCACACAGCCTGACCATGACCACAGGGTGTTCCATAATGTGAACACTGGTAATCGTAAACAAGCCACTATAATTTTTTCAATGTTCACAGTAAACAAAAATCACCCCAAACTCTAAAAAAGGGGGGAAATTATGTTATAGTTCCATTTAAAAAAAAACAAAAAGCCTCCTACCCGCCCAAAAGAAAAGTCCAACAACTGGAAGAGGTAGGTGACATAATGTATGTCTTAAGAAATCAAGCTCGAGAGCCTGGATAGCCAGTTCACTGATAAAGTCTGTTCTTCAGGACTTGGGCTTTTTTGGACAGTGCATTGCCTTCAAGCTCCATGACCACCTTCTGCAGCACTTCAAAGGTATACTTGAGTTCAGCAGGGTAGTTTAAGTTCAAAGAATATATTAGGCCAAACAACATGGCAGCAGCTAAGGGAACACTGTCCATATCCTGCATCACAATCTGGGACTCGAGGACAATGCCAATGTCCTCTGGTTTTTCACTGTCATCTCTGTGTTTCCAGACGTATATACCCATAGTGGTTTCCTCAATGGATTCCTGGAGGAGGGATTCATCTGCTGCCTGTACAATACACAAAAAGAATCAAAGTGTGATTACACTACATGCCACGTCCATATAGGGAATACTGCATATCTGTATTGAGTAATTTATTAAGATATCAAATCAAACTTTATTTATATGGCACTTTCATACAGAAAGTAACACAAAGTGGCTCATAGAGGCTGAAAACCACACACATAACACACACTTTGATTTAAGCAATATTACCCAAGAGGGTAGGGACCGAGGCGCTTGCTCCTGAGCGCATCACTGTCATGCTCAAATGACGTTTAAGTACACCCTCTCGGGTAATATTGCGATTATACAACTATTACCAACAAAATAAAATGTATCAAAATATATTCATTTTGATGGACAATTTGCTCTCAAATTTAAAAAGGTTTTTTGCGAGTGTGCATTCTTTTTACACTCTACAGGAGGTTGATTTAGTTTGATTTTTTTTCACGAGTAACAATGTTTCTAAAAAATAAAAATAAGAATCATGGATGGTTATCATGGAGATGGATACAACAACATGAGATGGCGGAATAATATTGTTAGTTTTGAGTCAGGCGTGCTGTTATGCTGATTTGAGCACGTTCTAAATGTCTTGTTGAACAATCAGATTGCTTGGTCAGAACTACTTGTATAGATTAAGATCACTACCATATTATCTTACAAGTTAGCTGACTGTAAAGTAATTACAATGGGTAGATGTTTTAAAGCTTATACAAAATATGAAAGATAACATCAACATACTAAACCTAAGTAATACTTACCACATACTCTCTCAATAGATTCTCTGGGTCCTCGTTCAGGTAAACGCAGAGTGCCTTTATGACACATTCTCTTCCCAGATCCACGTCATCATCCTGAGGCAGAAAAACAGAAGCACAAGTTGTTTTGCTTGAGTTTGTCTGTGTAAGTTTGAGTTTGTCCCCCAGAGAGTATACTTACTTCATCCATGGGTGCAATGATGCCCCCTAGGCGTCTGCCAATCTGTCCTCCTCTGTTTTTAAACATTTTGAGCAGTTTCTCGGAGTGAACATCTAATTGCGATAGAAATCTGGACTGCAGGGGCATTGTTGTGATCCGTTTGAATTCAGCATTTATCTGAAAATGAGAATGATTACAGACAACATGCAATATGGCAGCAATTAATAAAAAAATAAATAAAAAAACGAACACCAATCAAGTAACCATGACCAACAGTAAGTTAAAATTAAATTAGAACATTTGTACAGGAGCAGAATAATTCAAAAAGTTCCTTGTTTTATTGCTTTATTTTCTAGTTATATTATGTCATGATCATACTTTTTAAAAAAATCATCTATACCCTCCAAATATTTTCCGGCTGAAACTTGGTGACCCTTAAGTGTTCTTAACTTATTTACTTTGTGGATGTTCCTAAAGCCAAAACGTGGCTTGTTCCCATAAACTGCTATAAAAAAATAGTATATATTGATATTTTTTTCGACTTAAACACGCCAGTCTTTTAGAACTACTTCAGCCTGAAATATACATATAAAATATTAATTATATATTTTTTGTTTTTAACCCTTTAAATGCCAGTATGTTTACCATACTGTGCGAGATGTTATGTTAGGATAAACGTGGGATCAAAAAAGTTGTTTTAATGGGTTTCAATGGGGCAGGTTTTGGCGCTAGGAACATTTAAGCCTGGATTTTGATAGCATTGCCATTTTAGGCTTAATTAAGGTACTGAGATTTCAATTTCAATTATTATTTTTTTTTTAATTTTCTTGCAAATTTTAGCTATATTCATTCAACACAGCCAAAATGGCTTAAAAAATAAACAACAGGGTGGCTGGAAATATCCCCAAGAACACTTAAGGATTAACAATTGATTTAGTTTGGGAGAGGGTCTGCTAAGCAGCCAGCAGGTAAGTTACATGACTTTGTCAAATTAAGGTAAATCAACAGATAGGAATCATACAGATTTAATTTTAGTTTGTAATGTGTGAGAGAGAGAGTGTGAGTGAGTGAGTGAGTGAGAGAGAGAATAAATCACATACCTCGCCTACTTCAAAAAGTGCTGGCCATCTCGTCTGGAAGTCTCTTATCATTGGTGTGTCGCGAACCACTTCCTGTCTCCTATATGCAAATGTCTTTTCCATTTTCATCCTTACTGCTTCCCTGTTGTTCTTCTTCTTAACATCTGAAAGAAGCTCCATTCTCACACTCTCAAGACTCTTCTCAGATTCTCCAGTAGGATAGGGGGGGACAGTAGTTCACTTCAGACCTTCTTGGTTTTTTAATGCCAAAAGCAGGGCTTGATTTGCCCTCTGGTTTGTGCTTGAGTGAGTTTATTGTCACCTCAGGACATCCAAGCTTTCTTAGGTGAGTGCGGTAGATTGCCAGTTTGTTCTTCAAGCTGCATTTCCATCCAGCATATCCAGAGAGGGGAGCCTTTCTCAGTCAGGCAAGGATGCTTTGAGATTAGAGCCTCTCCAACTGTGTTAAAGTCTTTGTCAGAAACATAAAGTTTGTACTTAACAATTTCTTGCACTAGGCCCTCAAGAATGTTCGACTTCAGTTTAGGATCAGGAATAAACAATGTACCCTTTTCCCTGTAAGCTGCATTGCCCTGCGCAAGTTTCAACTCGGCATCATAACTAAACTGAGGAACACGAAAGATGCTCGGCCAAGATGACCGAGAGCCGGATGACTCTGACTCCGGTGAAGAGAGTATGTCAGTGTCAACACATCCACTGGACAGGGATGAGGATTCATTAAGGGAGTGATGGGCAGCTGAGGTGGGAAGGATATTAGCACACTGAGGAGTTGAGGAATCTGTCATGGCAATCACTCTAATTGTCCCTCTATCCTGTACTTCATCCATTGAAGTGAGGTTCATGAAGTCATTTCCAAATAGTGCATCCATAAACTGAAGTCTGAAGTCATAGTCAAGTCCACATTGTCTTTGTACCTCACTAACAAGTTCATTAACAGATCCTGGGAGTCCATTTTGAAAAGTCATCCTTTGGCTGCTGTTGTCACCCAGGATGACTTTGAGAAGTGTCGGGGCATTCATCCTTCTACGTCTCAGTCTGTAAAAAGAAGGAAAGTGACAAAAAGGAAAAAAAAGATTAATGCTTATTGTTTTATGTCAAGTATTTTACTTGTGTCAATACACTAATTGATGCAACATGATGTTAGGTTTCTCATTTTCAGTTTACCACTTGGCCTTGAAGAAGGCCTTGGAGAATTGATTCTAGTCCCACTTTCATTTTGTAATTTGCCCAACTACTACCTGATAAAATCCATCTGTACTAGCTTAAAGTTCATCCTGAAAACTAGAAAGAGGTGGAAACAAATGAGAAGCCTAGGATGTGACCCACAAAAATCAGTGCATGCAATACAGTATGACCTATAATGGATATACAAAGAGATTTCAGAGAAACTCCCATGGGCAACAAAGCACAAAAAAATACAGTCTGAATGTGAAGAGAAAATAGATGTGATGATACACATGCAGGCAGATTGACAGACTTGTGACAAAATAACAAAACATACAACTCAGCATGCACATTACCATATCACCAAATATACGTGTGTAAAAAAAAGAGCAATTACTTTGGACTGAAAATATCTTATTGCAATTAACTGTTCAGTCCTACTATTAATCACCATTTTGGTGGTTAACCAACCTTTTATGATAATCTGCCTTTTTAAGGTTACCATATGACTTGATCCAACAGTGTAAGAGGCCAGTGGATAGGGGTCAGTGAGTTCACTGAGTGCCACAAGTTTTACTTCTCTGGATGGTGACAAGCTTAGCTCAAAGGCTCTGTAGTGTTCAGTGTACCACCCACACAGCACTTTCACAATGAGGAACAACATCTCATTTATTACACACATCTGACTAATTTCAGCAAACTCTGGTAATCCACCTACTGATCCATGGGCAACTATCATGCCATTGCTGTAGGCTATGCCATTGCTTGATGCATTCTTAGCAAGATGCACTTCAGATGTGCTAGGGCATTTTAGCTTTATAGCCTCAGCTACTTCCTCCTTCAGTACATCAACTGGAACTGTGGAGACAGTAGATACATCTAGGCAAGATTTACCATAAGACGGTGAGTTTAGGTGAAATGCAATCATCATTTGATGTTTTGAAGTAGGGGTGGGCGATATGGGCAAAAAATAATATCTCAATTTTTTGGGGATTTTGGCGATAACGATAATCAGTCGATATCCTTTAAAATGTGATTAGAATTGTCTGAGCTGGACTTTACAGCGCTAAGAGCGCTCAAAAACTCATTTTCCGAGCGCCCAGCGGGGTCAAAGGTTGAACAGATTTCAACTTGAAGCGCTCTGAGCGCTGCGCTAAAAAAAACCGTCTCCGCTGACATCTTTTTACCGCTGAAGGCGCTTAGCGCTCTGAACGCTGAAGCCCATAGGACCCACGTCTCGGCACTGAATCATCTGAAGTACCGGTAGCTTCAGGGACCGGAGGTGTTTGCATTTTCTCTCTACCATGACAACGCACTGCTAAACTGTTGCAAGGAGGATGCTAGCGAGAGGTCACGTGATCACGTCATGTGATCACGTCGGCCCACGAGTTGTGTGACTGAATCCTGCCATGCTGTAGAGAGCGCTGCTGCACCGTGTATTAATGGATGTGAGGAGTTTCCGCATGCGTTTCATTGTTTTTGTCGAAGTAATTTAAATACTCGATAATGGAAATTTGCACATCGTCAAAACAACAATGACGATATTATCGCAAACGATATTTATCGCCCACCTCTATTTTGAAGCCAAAGTCAGTGGTACATTCTTAAAGCAACTTGTGTGTTTAACAATGTTCTTAAAGAAACTATGTTTGGCTTCAAATCTCATTGTCCAAACTGTGACTAGAGGGCCAAAACACCTTATCATCTGCGGGTAGTGTTCTACATAGTGGTGTTTGGGTAGAAGTCTGACACCAGGGAACAGGTCTTGGTACCTCTGTCTGTGCTCAACAATTTTGCTTTCAAGGTATGAGATGGATTCATCTGTATGCACAGGAGCAACAACTAACTGCACAATATCTTTTAAATCCATCAACACAAGCCATGCTGGCTCATTTTCTGGGACAAGGGGACCTATCACAAATGGGAGCAGCCTCAGTAGGCTCCAGTTTTCATGAGCGTTGCCACCGATAGTTTTCCGACCCAAGAAACTTTGTGGTACAATATGTGGCTTGTTTGTTTTGTCGGACCATTTATAGGGGGAAAGTCAGTATAGCTCTATTTAGTTCATCTAATGTAAATAACTTCTTTGATATCATTAATGCCAAGCAGTGGGCCAGCTCAACAGGCACAATGCCCTCAAATATATCATGAGCAACATCAGGCGGAAAACCGGAGACAACATGAAAATGAGACAGAGTTTTGGTAAAAATGCACTCTCTCTTAACTCCAAAGCAATGTGTACCCTTCTCACAAGATGATTTTACATGATCTGCATGGCCAGCTCTAGTTCTAAGGCTGAAAGCACCGGTAGCAACACACTGATTCCTGAAATCACAACTCTTTGCTGTGCAAAAGCGACAAACGTAATCACCAGAAAAATTTTCTATGAACCCTGCAATACCATGCGCGCCCAGGTTGTCAGCCACAATACTCAGTACTGTACCTTTAAGAGACTTACCTAATAAAGGCACATACACACCATAGTCCTCGAGAATTTTAATATCTTGAAGAAGGGGTTCCAAGACTGTTTCATAACCATATGTTTTTACATCAACACTTTTGCAAAGCACTGCAAGATAAATAGATGATAAAGATGAGTGGGAGCCTGGTGGCAGGTTACCTAGTATCCAGTAAACACCACAAAGCTTGTGTTTTTTCCTAGAGGTGCCTAGGGGATTGCAGGTCTCAAAATCATCCACATACAGACGCAGTGTTATCCGTAACTCCTCTGCATTTAGGAAGCTGTTTGCGTTAAAATGCAAACCATCTTCAGGGGACCTGAATTCAAGAGATGGGTCAAGTTCAGTGTCCTGCTGTCCTCTATGATTTTCAATTATCTTATCAACAATGGCCTTATTATTTAAAATTTGTTGCAAAGATTTCAACAGTGGGACATACTGAAAGGTGTGTTTCTTTTTATGATCAAGTATGTAAGTAACTGGTTCCACAACACAGAATTTTTCCTTATAAAATTGTTTACGTTGATATGAAGTACTAAGAGGGCCGCCTTTTTCAATTGCTTTTGGAACAGGGTTAGATGAGCATACTGCTGTGGTGATTTCTGTAACTACAGAGTCATCAACTTGTATTTTGTGATGCTTAAGGATATCTGTCACAACACTTCTAGATACTGTGACTGATGCTATGTTTATCAAGTAGTAAAGTTCTTGCAAAAAATCATCAATTGCTGTACCTGGCACGTGGACTAAATATTCCAACTTTAGTAAGGCTGCTGCAAGCTGCTGCTCAATTGCACTTGGAAGTGCATTGTGTTGATCTCGTGAAGAATCAGAAACTTCCTCTAACACACACTCCTCATCCTGGCTATCAGCAAACAAATCATCTAATGGTGGAGATGCTATTGTAGTTGTTTTTACAATACCTGGTAGAAAATCAGATAATGTGTGAGGTGTGTGCCGGCGACTCTTATGAGACTTAAAGGTTCCATAAATACTTGTTTGAAAACTACAGCCAACGAACATGCAACCTACATTTTCATTTTTCTTCAGATGTGTGTTGACATGAACAAAAAACTCCCTTTCATTAGCTAAATTTTTGCATGCACATAAGTGACAGCTGAAAATGGACAACTCTTTTCGTGTCTGATTATCTTGTGTGGAATGCACTCTACTTTGATGGATGATTAAAGCATTCCATGTCTTAAATGTACAGGGACATTTAGAATACGTACATGGATAATTTATGGTGCGTCCAAAATGTGGGTGTTTGAGTTTATAATGGTGAAGTAATTCAGACCTACTTTGCACAGCGACTGAACACCCTTTACACTGCCACATTCACTAGAGAAAGAGAGACAAACAAATGGAAGTTCAACTCACTGACACACATCCTACAGAAATAGAGCAAATCATAATTTAAAACCATAATTATATATTATAAATAACCATAATTTAAAAATGCATAATCTTGCCAGTTTATTAGGGAACACTCTTATGTTAAACCAATGCAGTCTAATCCAGAAATCAATAAATCTTACCATCATAAAAGTTAAAGCAATATAGTTTAGTAATTGTTGAAAAAATTACAAAAAATTACAATCACAGCCATTTTATGTGGTTTAATTGTGGTGCCGTTAAATTATTTTGTGAAATCCTGACAGACTAATTATTAGAAACACTTCTCCAAAATAGTTTCAACAAAAAATAAACATTACACACTTAAAGACAGTAGGATTTACAGCAATTATCATTACAATATTTTTGAAAATAATATCATCATAATCATGAGAAATCCATTCATTCTTGTTTAAACACATCCAGTAAACCAACAAAAGCAAGTGAATAGTAATACTCACCACTACTACAGAGCCTTTGACACAGCACCCAGAGACATACCTTATATCAAATATTGGTCTTGGATGGAGGATATCTACACAGAAAAAATAAATAAATGTTAAAAAGAGCTATAGTTGATAATGAACTAAAGGCAGTGTTTCCAACAGGTTTTCAGGAGGCTAGGGGTGCGATCGGACCGTCCGACGGGTGGGGGGGGGTGCGATCGCGGTGTATTAAATGTTTATGTTGTGCGCAACCTGTCCATGTGCCCGTGTTTTGTTTGTGTGTGTAAGTGCGTGAGCCTACGCGCGAGAGAGTGCAGGGAAGGAGGGGCTGACAGAGAGATATGAGAGACGGTATATTTTTTTTTCCCTGTGACAGACTGTGGCGGACCCATACGAGTTAATTAATGGAAAACACTGAAAGCCTAGCAACAACGACAGCTGAGAATATTACTGTCAAATATTGGTATTGCCCTCCTTATAAATTTTTTTTAAAATCGCAGGCCATGTCTGCTCTGATACAAGTCAGTGATCCTAAAATGTGTGTTTCTCATCTACAATACACATTCTACATCTCGGAGGCAACGTCTATCCAAACTCGGAAAGGCGAGTGAGAGTCGGGTAGCATGTTGCTGCGGGAGAAGCAGGTCCATGGAGCTGTGCGCAGTGGACGTGCACGAAAGAACAAGCATGTCTTACCGAAAGAAAAAACAAAGCAAAAAAATAAATCAATCAATCAATAAATACTCAAAAATCGAGTGTGTTTCTTATTAAGTAGTAGGCTCCCCAAAAGTCACGGACTGTATATAAAAAAAAAAAACATTAACAACATTACTTTTTTCCCCCAAAGGGGTTAATTTGAACAGACCATAATCACCTCCATAATGGGAACAGCTGAACATGACGTTAAAGTACACTGCTGAACCTCAGCATGGCAGAATTGATACTAAGATACCTACTTTAATATCGCCTAGTCGGTTTTCCTCCATTTCGTTACAGCAGCCATGTTTCACCAAAGCCAATGTCAGAGTTACCCATCCCCCCACACTCGTTAACTTGTTTAATACCTCCGACAGGTGCCAATTTGAAAAGAGAATAGACCTAGGCCTATGTTCTATGAATTTCCCCATACAAACTAGTTGCCGTGCACACATTACGTTAACAGACATAAAAACTAATAAAGATAAAGATATAAAGATAAAGATATTCAATGAGGGCAGGCATGACCGCTACCATTAGCAACCAGTGAATGACCGCAAACGTTAGCATGAAGACTGACTTGGATTTACTCGACATTACCGGCAAATAAAAAGCCAAACCTTTTCAAATCTTGATTATAAACACGCTGCTTCTAACACTGGCTCATATTTGACAAGTTTTATTACCTTTATGTGTCCTGAGAAGCCCAAATCCATAGAAAATATCACAGCGAGGGAGAAAATGGCGGAGCCTGCAGGTCTTCAGCAACCGTTTCCTGTCCAGGAGCCGCCCTTGGAGGCGGCCTTTTCGCTGATAAAACATAACTTTTTCCTTTCTTCTTCAAATGATGGAGACATGTAGGTTTTAAATTCCTCAATATTGAAATGCTTTTTAAAGATTGAATCATGTTTTGGAGAGAAATATAAATTAATTATGTAGCATATACAAAATGCATACTTGTAAATTGAACAACCCTCCTTCTTCCATTTTT